ACCTGCCCCTCACTCACCATTTGCCTGTTCTCTACTCACTACCTGCCCCTCACCCACCTGCTGCATGCCCACAAAATCTGCCTGAGCTAAACATTGTGTTTGCAAATTTAGTCACTTTGTTTGGCAGTTTTGTTCTCTTTCCGAGCCGTTGCAATGAGCTGTTCTGCTGCATTGAGCATGGGAGGGTTCAGGGTTTCGGAGTGGGAATGGCAGTTCCCTGAACCAGGCTGTTAGACTGCGTTTGCATCACAACAGCCCCTGATTGTGTCTCCATGATAGGCAAGTCTGCATTCATTACCCCCAGGAGGTAGTGTGTGACCTCCTGTTTCAAGGTGCTTCAAGGTGATGGCAGTGTAAGGTGGGCATGTCTAAGATACTGGCCCAGCATTGATTAGGAAACATCAAGATATATCCACCATGGTGGAAAGGAGCTTTTTATTAATTCGTTCATGGGGTGTGGGTATCGCTGGCTAGGATGTCATTCATTGCTGAGAGGTAACTGATGTTCCTCTGCCCCCACCACCCCTAGTTGCCCTCCATTGGTAATTATGGTATTCAGCTTGGCAGAACTCCAGCACCTCCCTTTTCTTTTAATTAGTTCGTGGGCATCACTGACTGTGCCAGCAATCCCTAATTGCCCATAAGAAGGCATCAAGCTGCCTTCTTGACCTATTGCAGTCAGTGCAGTGCAGGACACCCAGAGTGCTGCTAGGATGGGAGTTCCAAGTTTTTGACCGTGGCACAGTGTAGGAATGGAGATATAATTTTGGATCAGGATGGTGTATGGTTTGGAGGAGAAAGTGAAGGATCAGTCTCTGGAACGCTGCGAGTCAGGGAGCTAAATCATAGAATCCCTAAAGTGCGGAAAGAGGCTATTCAGCTCGTCGACTCAGGCCCAAATCCCACAACCTAGCCCTGTAACCCAGCGTTGACCATGTCTAATCCACTTAACTTACATGTCCCTGGACACTGTGGGCAATTTAGCATGGCCAGTCCACCTAACCTGCACATCTTTGGACTGTGGGAGGAAACCGGAGCACCCGGAGTAAACCCACACAGACATGGGGAGAATGTGCAAACTCCACACAGACAGTCGCCTGAGGGTGGAATCAAACCCATATCCCTTCCACTGTGAGGCCGCAGCGCTAGCCACTGAGCCACCATGCCGCTTTCAACAGGTTAATTAAAGAAAACTTGAGTATTGTCTTAAAACTCTCTTGGAATGTTCTTATTCAGAGCTGGCTGGGCAGGGGGAGGGATGGGGAACCTGCCTGGCTCTGTGGGGCCAGTCAGTACTGGGAGATCATGTCCATTCTCCTGGGAAGTGTCCAAGCTGAGGTAATATCCCTCTGGAGGAGCTGGGAGGTGCTGAGTTGAAGAGGAAGATGAAACGTTTGCATTGCTTTTGCTTTCAGGGTTGTCCTCTCCTCCTGGGATTGCGGCTCCTGCTGTGCCCAGTATCGTATCTCCGATCGGGGTGAATGGCTACACAGGCCTCTCCACTCAACACAACGGGCACCCCACAGTGGAGGCTGTCTACGCTAATGGCATCCACCCGTACACAGGTTTGTACAATCTTCAACCTCGAGACAAATCTTCGCTCTCGCTTTCCCGCGAAATGAATGATTGCGTTGTGCAGTGAAGCAGCTTTTCTGCAACAAGCGATTTCGTTGTAAAATAATGTGTAGCCTGCCTTAAAACCTGCCTTAAAACTACATCAATGAAAAATGTGACTGTCTATGAATTTTTATTGAATGAAACATTGTCCAAATACTGTTTGGAGAAGATAAATTACTTTATGACAATCAGGGGCATGCACTAACCTCTCTCTCTTCATCTTTCCATCCCCTCTACCCTCATTCTTTTCCTCCTTTTATTCTAATTTCTTTTTCATTCCTTTCTTCCACCGTTTTCTCATTTCTTATTCTTGCTCTCTTTTGCTTTATGTTTATTCTCTTTCTTTGCTATAATTCATTTCCTGTTTTCATCTATTTCCCTCCAATATGTATCAAAACTTTTCTCTCCTTGTGTCCTTTGAGTTTAACTTCCTGAAATCTGATTCTTTGCTTACTTTGTGAATTATTTAAATTCTCGCTATCATTTTCTCTCATTCCCATTTCCCTCTTTTTCATACTCTATTTTTATCCTTTTGTTCACTCTACCTTTATCTTCTTTCTTTCACTCTCTTACTTGTTCCCCTTTTTCAATCTCATTCTCCCTTTGGCTTTCCCTGATATCCCCCCTTTTGCATCTCTATTTCTGCTTTGCATTCATTCTTTTTATTCTCACATTCTTACCCATTTTTTCTATTTAAAAATATATTGCTGCTTTTCTATTGTTAACATCTCCTCTCTCTCACCTTCTCTTCATCCCTCCTATCTTCTATCTTTTACCTTCTCACCATATTTCTTGTTTCTTAATGTCTCTCATTTCTCCTGCCTTTCAACTTTTCTCTATCACTCCTGCCTTTTCCACTTCCTCTTTATCTCTCTCATCTCTCTCACTTTCCCTCAATCTCTCCCAACTTCTGTCCATGTCTCCCATCTTCCACTTTTCTGCCATCTCTCCCGTCTCCCACCTTCTGTCTGAATCTTTCATCTCCCACTATCTCTTTGTCTTTCCCATTTCCCACCTGCTGTCTCTCCCAACTCCTACCATCTCATCTTCTCTTCATCTTTCCTGTCCCTCACCTTCTCTCCATCTCTCTCATTTCCCAACTTCTGTCCATCTCTCCTGTTTTCCACCTGCTGTCTGTGTCTCCCATCTCCCACCTTCTCTCCATCTATACAATCTCTCACCTTCTGTCTCCCTCTCTCCCATCTCCCACTTTCTCTCCATCTCTACAATCTTTCACCTTCTCTCTCTCTCACACACCTCCCACCTTCTCTCCATCTCTACCATTTCTCACCTCTCTCCCCCATCTACCACCTTCTCTCCATCTCTCACCTTCTCTCTCTTCCGTCTCCATCTTCTCTCTGTCTCTCCCATTTTGTTTCTAGCACAAAGTCCATCTGCAGCTGACGCCTTGCAGCAGGCTTTCACTGGGGTTCAGCAGTACACTGGTAACTGCATTTCTCATTTGCTTGTATTCTTTTAAATAGGCGCTATGTTTTCTGCTAAAGCTTGGCACCCTTTTGGACTTTACAGAGTTGATTAACTCTGCTTTTCACGTGTGCTTTCTGTGAGCACTGAATGGAAATTCATCCTTCCAAACAGAACCTCTTAGGCAAGAAGTATCGCTGATGTTTCAATTCATCAGCTCCTTATCCACTGCATCTTCTAAAAGCTGGAGTAAATGGAGGCAGGAAAATGAGGTGGACCAGTGGTTCACTCTCTAGACTGCTCAAGCAGGGCTTTAAGCAGGTCAGGCAAGGATAGTCTGATGGAGAAGCAATGAGGGTCAGGAAGCAATATGACTGAATCTTTCTACAGGAATAATCTCCTGCTAGTAAATTTTCTTTTTAAATAACCAAGAATACTTTTTCAAGAACAGTGGCAGGATACCAAGGTACAGATGGATCTAGGTGTTTAAGTGCTTGAATCACAACATGTTAGTGTGCAGGTATAGCAAGTGATTAAGGAGACTGAGCTGCTATCCTTCAAAATAGAGTCATAGAGTCATACAGCATGGGAACAGACCCTTCAGTCCAACCGATCCATGCTGAATATAGTCCCAAATTAAACTAGTCCCACCTGTCTCCACCTGACCCATATCCCTGTAAACCTTGCCTATTCGTGTACTTACTCAAATGTCTTTTAAATGTTGTAATTTTACCCATGTCCACCACATCCTCAGAAAGTGAACCACCCTCTGTGTAGAAAAAATGTCCCAAATGTCTTTTTTAAATCTCTCTCCTCTCACTTTAAAAATGTGCCCCGTAGTCTTGAAATCCCCCATCCTAAAGAAAAGACACCTACCATTAACCCTATCTATGTCCTTCATGATTTTATAAACTTCTATAAGGTCACCTCTGAACCTCCTATGCTTCAGTGAAAAAAGTCTCAGCCTATCCAGCCTTTCTTTATAATTCAAACCTTCCATATCCAGCAACATCCTGGTAAATCTCTTCTGTACCCTCTCTAGCTTAATAATATCCTTCCTCTAACTGGGCAACCAGAACTGAACACAGTACTCTAGAAGAGGCCTCACCAATGTCTTGTACAACCTCAACATGGCTTCCCAACTCCTACACTCAAAGGAGTGAGCAATGAAGACAAGTGTGCCAAACACCTTTTTTAACCACCCTGTCTATATGTGACGCAAACTTCAAAGAATTTTTTACCTGAACCCCTAGGTCTCTCTGTTCTACAACACTGTCCAACAAGAGAAGTTGAACACTTAAGTAAGGATAAGATGAAGAACTGTGGATGCTGAAGATCTGAAATGAAAGCAGAACAAAAATGGAAATTGCTGGAGAAACTCAGCAGATCTGGTAGCATTTGTGGAAAGAGAATCAAAGTTAATAGTTTGCATCTAGTGATTGCTCTTCAAAACAAGTAGTTCTCAAGAAGAGTCACCAGACTCAAGACGTTAACTCTGTTTTGCTATGTCCATAGATGCTGCCAGTCCTTCTGAGTTTCTCCAGCAATTCTGTTTTTGTATTGAAGCAAGGATGTTATGCTTCAGCTGAACAGTGTATTGGTGAAATGACATCTCAAATATTTTAAAGATAATGGGGGTGGGGGATATATTGTTAGGCAAATGGAATCAAAGATTATTAGATATAGATGGGAACATGGAATTTGGAATAGAAACAGAAATGGATCAGTCATGATTTTAGTGGAGCAAGCTCGATGGGCCAAATGGTCTACTTCTGCTCCTAATGTTTGTAAATGGTTAGGGAATGACAGGCAGGGAAAAGTATGGAAATGTTTTCCACAACTGTCATAAAGGAGGTTTGTTTGATGCATTCAACAGTTCATTCTCTTTTCTGTCTTTTTTTTTGATGAAAAGCCATGTATCCAACAGCGATTGCCCAGATCAGTCAAGCATTTCCACAGCCACCTCCAGTCATTACACAGCAAAGGGAAGGTGAGTTACAGCAACAAACCTCCAAGGCTATAACAACCTCAAACTTTACTGAAGACACTTTCAATCAGTTCCACATCAGGTACAGTGCAGGCTCCTCTTGTTGAAGCGCAAGCAACTATTCTGGCAATAACCTTTAAAAGGACACAGACTAAACTCAACCAGCTCCACCTTCCGCTGACTGTTTGTGTGGAGTTTGCACATTCTCCCTGTGTCTGTGTGGGTTTCCTCCGAGTGCTCCGGTCTCCTCCCACAGTCCAAAGATGTGCAGACTAGGTGGATTGGCCATTCTGAAATTGTCTGTAGTGTTCAGGTATGTGTAAGCTAGTTGTTTTAGCCATGGGAAATCTGGGGTTGCAGGGTATGGTAGGGGACTAGGTCTGAGTGGGATGCTCTTCAGAAAGTCGGTGCAGAATTAATGGGCTGAATGGCCTCTTTCTGTACTTTAGGGGTTCTTTGCTTCTATGAGCTCACACTTGCAAAGTCCCAAACAAAGGGTCTGCTGTTTGATGTGTTTTTCTGACTAGGCAGCTCTTGCTAAACAATCATGAATGTGTCGATGGCTACGCTAGCAACCAATTTAAAGTTGAGGTTGTTAGGTGTCTTGCTTACATTTGTTAGAAATGACATATCATCAGACGGTGGGGTTCATTCTCTGCTGGCACAAGGAATATGTTGAAAACCCACACCTTGTTTGGAATTACCCCAGAGTTTGGGAGCCTATTGCTTTCTAGTTGAAATGCCTCTAGTTGACCTAACAACCAATCAGCACCGCTTTCTCCTGTTGAATAAATCACTGTGATTGTTTGAAATTTGGCATTCTTGCATTTGTCCTGATGGGTCCAAGATGAACAGCTCCAGCAACATGTCTCTCTCTTTTCCAGCAAGATTCAGGTTCTGTACGACCAGGCACCTGTTGGTCATCCACCGTTCGAAGGTGCTTCATGAGAGGGTGGCCAAACAATATTTGACACCATGCCACATAATAGGCAGGGTGACCAAAAAGCTTGATGAAGGGCTCAGATCTTCAGAGGCATCCTAAAGGAGGGGGAGGGATGGAGAGGTTTAGGAGGGGAGTTCCAGAGCTAGGGGCCCATCAACCCAAGGCATGGCCTCCAATGATGGAGCAGACAAAATGGGCAATGTGCAAGAGGATGCGTTTCAAGGGGAGTACCATGTTACCCATAACTTCCCATTGAAATATTTCCCCTCTAGTGTCCTATATAAGCTGATTCCTGTCGTACTCTAACTCTCCTATTGAAACCCCTCTCTCTCATGCTTTTGAGTCAGCCTCATGTTCATGTTAAATGCACTTTAAATTTGGGATTACCCCTTCTCTCCCTCAATGATCAAAGTGATACTTAGGATTTATTAGTCTCTAATATCGAATAGTTTATGAAAGTCATTGAGTTCTATTATTAAGCTCCTCCCATTCAACAGCAAGATTTGAACTTCTTTAAAGTGTCTTCAAAGCCTACCCCCTTTTTATGTAGCATGAGGTCAGTCTTGTTATTCCTCCCCTCTTGTTATTTCTCTCTGCTGATATCTCCTTTTATCTCTCCTTATCCAGGGCCAGAGGGCTGCAATCTTTTCATTTACCACCTCCCCCAGGAGTTCGGGGATAGTGAACTCATGCAGATGTTTCTGCCCTTTGGGTCAGTCATCTCCTCCAAGGTCTTCATGGACCGAGCCACCAATCAGAGTAAATGCTTCGGTGAGTCTGGCTGGCTGCTTGGGAAGTGTCACCATGCATCATCGTTGCTCGGACAGGGAAGCTTAGAATCAACACCACAAGCCATAGAATTTGGAGGGTTTCCCTGAAACTGCCTGGTGTCTGGAATCACCAGTTTAATAAGTTAAGGCTAGGATTGAAATTGGGAAGGAACGAGGGGCATAGATTTTAAAGCGATGTGCAAAAGAAGCAAGGATGATGGAGAAAAATACATAGTGTTTTCTTCAGTGAGTACTTAGAGTCTTGAATGCACTGCCTGGAAATGTGGTGGAGGCGGGTTCAATTGAGCCATTGAAGAGGGCATCGGAAGATAATTTGGGTAGAAATAGTGTGCAAGGGTTTGGGGAAAGAAACAGAGATTGGCACTGGGCAATACTGCCCATTTGAAGAGCCCATGCAGCAATGATGGGCTGAATGGCCTCCTTCTGTGCTGTAACAGTCCTGCAATCTTTCATTCGTGCCAAGATAGTGGGCACTGACTGCAGTTGTATAGGACAACTCTCAGGGTCGGTGGCAAGACATAAGCCTATGTGTGCACAGCAAGATCCCACCAACAGCCATGTGATAATGGCCAGATCACCTGTTTTCTTCAGTGATGCTGATGGAGGGATAAATATTTGCCAAGGCAGGTGGGAGAATTACCCTAAGATCTGGCAAATAGTGCCATGGGATTTTTTGCAACCATCCATGAAAGCAGGCAGAGCCTTCGTTTAAGGTCTAATTAGAAAGATGGCACCTCCAACAGTGCAGCACTCCCTCTGCATAAGGGAAAGAGGAAGGTATTGTTCCAGTGTTACTGTAGTTAATAATCCAGAACTCCAGGTTAATGCTATGGGAACAGGGGTTCAAATCCCACGTGGCTGCTGTTGCAATTTAAATTCAATCAATAAATCTGGAATTAAAAACTAGTGGCTGTAATGGTCATCAATTGCCATTTTATAAACAAACCTCTGGGTCACCTTAAATGCTTTTTAAGGAAGGAAATCTGCCTTCCTTACTTCTGTGTGACTCCAGACCCACGGCAGCGTGATTGACCCTCTGAGTGAGCCCCTCGGTTCAAGGGAATAAAGGAACAGGTAACAAATACTGGTCTTACCAACAACACACAAATCCTGTGAAAGCTTAATGAAACGAAAGCCCCTTGAGTGGGATTTTGACCTCCAACTTAAAGGTGAGTGTCATAGAGTCATAGAAGTTTACAGTATGAAAACAGGCCCTTCGGCCCACCTGGTCCGTACAGCCCAGTTTTCACAATCAAACTAGTCCCATTTGCCTGTGTTTGGTCCATATCCCTCCATACCTATCCCATCCATGTACCTATCCAAATGTTTCTTAAATGACAAAATTGTACATGCCTCCACCACTACCTCTGACAGCTTGTTTCAGGCACTCACCACCCTTCTGTGTGAAAAAATTGCCCCTCTGAACCCTCTCTCCCCTCGCACCTTAAACCTATGCCTTCTAGTCTTAGACTGTGGGAAAAGCTGTTGATATAACTGAGCCACAGGAATGATGCTTCTCATTTTTTTTAAAAAATTGCATCAGTTAGCTACAGATTGCAATACAAATTGCAGGTTTTTAAAATCCAACCTTGATGTCTCTGAATAACCATTTTGTTGAGATGGGGAGGAATTCCTTCATTCAGAAGCTGGTGAGTCTTTGGAATTCTCATTGGGGTGGAAACTCAGTTCCAGAGCAAGTCCAAGACAGAAATCAAGGTGTTTCTGTAGACTTTTAACATTAAGGGATTTGAAGATTGTGTGGCAAAAATGGCATAGAGCCATAATCACGCATGATGGTCCAGGCTTCTTAGGCTGAATGGCCGACAACTGCCCTACGTTCTTATTTTTCGATCCATTTTTCTCTGTCCTACTAATTCAACCTTGCTGATTTTCTGTAGAGTTTACCTTCACTTGGATTTCTCATGTTACTCTGTGGTGGGCAATGCTGCCACCTAATGGAGCAATGGCAAATTGGGATCAGTGCCTGGCCAGAGCAACTTGACCGATCAGTGTGTCGCACTGAGTGAAGCTACGGCATTGTAACTCACTTTCCCACAAAATAACGTACACACCTTTAACAGTGCACCCATTTGCTGCTTCATTGCAGTAACATGATAAATCAAGGTTTACCTTTTGCAACGGCTGTTCCAGATTTTGGTTTTACAACTTGAGAGTGTTCTGTGTGCCAACCTCATGCTTAAAGTTCGAAGGATTTACTGGAATGGTAGCAGGGAAGGGAAACTTCAGTTTTGTCAGGATACTAAAGGAGGCAGTCAGGAGGAAGGCCAGTGTGGTTTGAGTGGCCTCCACAGTCAATGAGTTCTCGCGGCTATAGGCATCTCTCGGGATCCCCTCTTGCCCTGCCTAAAATGATTGATATTGTACACCTTCTTCCAACTTTTGTTTTTACTGTTTTGGATTTTACAATCGATTGGTTAGTTGTATTGGTGTGATTGTTCTCCTTCCAGCAGAGATTCTGAAGGAGTAATCCGGCGTTCAGAACCTTGAAGCGTTTTGCTGAAGTAAACCAGTAGAAAGTGTTCTCAGTCAGTTACCTGATAGTATAGATTTGCAGAGATGGGTAGCCCGTTGTTGAATGCATGGCTGAAAAGGCTCATGGAAGCAAACGTAAGTTCTTTTTGGAAGTAGTTGGCTACGTTCTTGAAGGGAAATGGTTTACAGGGTTGTGAAGGGTAGACAGGTGGCTCAGTGGTTAGCACTGCTGCCTCACAGCACCAGGGACACAGGTTCAATTCCACCTTTGGGTGACTGTCTCTGTGGTGTTTGCACATTCTCCCTGTGTCTGTGTAGGTTTTCTCCAGATGTTCTGGTCTCCTCCCACAGTCCAAAGATGTGCATATTGGGTGGATTGGCCATGTTAGGTTTCCCATAGTGTTCAGGGATGTGCAGGGTAGGTGGGTTAGAATTGCAGGGTTGTGGTGATAAGGTAGGGATCTGGGTGGGATGCTCTTTGGAGGGTTGGTGCAGACTTGATGGGCCAAATGGCTTCTCTCTACAGTGTAGTGATTCTATGAAGAGAGGATGAGGAAAACAAATAAATTGTGTAGCTCTGTTGAAGAACTCCCACTGGGGTGATGGGCCAAATGTAGAATTGCATCCTGTGCTTTTCCTTTCGACATTCAATCCTTCTCTTCCCTCTTTTAATATACATCCCTCTTCTTGTCCTCTCTTCAATGGCTTTGTACCTCCTGGAGTTTGGAGCCACACTAATAGCAGCTCAGAGGCAGCCTTTAGCTGACTGCAGAAGGGTTTACATTCCAGAATTTGTGCATGACAACCCAAAGACACCCAGGTATCCTTTCTAATCCTATCTTCCTGCACACAGCCCATAGCCCTGCAGCTTATAGCAAGTAAGCTGCAGATCCAGCTACCTATTAAAAGCGTTTAGGGAGATGCCTCCACCACCAGCTTAGGCAGCGAATTCTAGACACGCACCATCCCCTGCGTAAATAAGTTTTTCCTCATGTCCTCTCTGGTCCTTCTGCCACTGAGCTTGAATGTATAACCCTGGCTTTTGAACTCTTGGTCAACTCCTGTCTACTCCATCTTTACCACTCACCATTTTGTATACCTGCATCATGTCATCCCTCAGCCTTCTCTAGGAAACAATCCCAACCTCTCCAATCTCTCGTCATAGCTACAGTTCTCCAGCCCTGGCAACTTCCCAGTAAATCTTCTGTGCACTCTCTCTGGAGAAATTATGTCCTTCCTGTAACATGGTGACCAGAACTGCACACCATACTCCAGTTGTCGCCTTGCCAGTGTCTTATACAGTTTCATCATTATATCCCCGCTTTTGTATTCAAAACATCTGCCAATGAGAACAATCATTCAAAGTGCTTTATTTACAACCTTCAATGTTTCGTGTTTATCTCATTCTTTGTGCACCTTTTCTGCAGCTGTAACATTGTATTCCTCGCTCTATTCTATTACCCTAATGCACTTTGTATGGTATGATCTGCCTGTACCGCACGCAAAACAAAACTTTTGACTGTACCTAAGTGCATGTGATAATAATAAATAAAACAAAATCAAAAATCAACCTTATTGACCTGTAGTGCTAACCTATAGGGACCTGTGCACTTGCACACCAAGATCTCTCACTACATCTACCCCTGTCAGTATGTTTCCTTTCATTGTGTATTCCCTTTTATTGTTAGACCTCCCTAAGTGCATTACCTCATACTTATCAGAGTTGTCGTGTGACACCCTTTCACAGCTCACAGAGAAATCCCCCAAGTGCTTCGAAATTGAGCATTCTGAAGTGCAGACTGCAGGTAAAGATAGTCTGGCAAGTCTATTCCAACCCCAGTGACCAGCTGATGTGTTTTCCAATCCTGGCCAAGGCATCAGGAGAGTTCCCAACCTTCCCTCAAATAGATCCTCCATGGGATCTTTGACCACACAGGCACGGCTGTATTCACGGCTCCACGTTAATGTTCCAATCTTATGCCTAGGCACTCCAATGTTGTAGCACTCCCACAAAACGCTCGGGACTATCAGGAAAGCTGACGTTTCGGGTTGGGACCCTTCTTCAGAAAATGATTTCAGGTGATTTCAGATTTTCTGAAGAAGGGTCCCGACCCGAAACGTCAGCTTTCCTGCTCCTCTGATGCTGCCTGGCCTGCTGTGTTCCTCCAGTTCCACACTGTGTTATCTCTGACTCCAGCATCGGCAGTTCTTACTATCTCAGAACTATCAGCCTTGGTTTTGTGGCTTAGTTTCAAGAATAGAAGCCTGAAGTTTAATGTCTCAGAGGCCAATGTGCTGTAGTGTAACAGTGTCGAAGATGAAAGAGAGTAGATAGTTCTTGCTTTTCCTTTTTTTTTAATTGTTACCTGATTGTTTTTCTTCCTCTTTTGATCTCTCATTGGGTGAGCTGGTTTATGAAAGAGATGAGGAGGAATTTCTTCTCTCAGAGGGGAGTGAATCTGTGGAATTCTTTACTATGGAGAGCTGGGTCGTTAGTTATATTCAAGGCCGAGACAGATTTTTAATCAGGAAGGGAATGAAGGGCTAGGGGGAAAAGGCAGAAAGGTGGAGTTGAGGACTATTGGATCAGCCATGATATCATTGAATAATGGCACAGACTTGATGGGCTGAATGGTCTACTTCTGCTCCTAAGTTTTATGGATATTCATAGGCTCACAGGCTGCCTGTAGCTTTCCCAATTGGTCAGTACTCATGTGGAAGCCTCAGCAATGGATGTCAACAAACTGCGTGACTTTCTCTTGGTTCAGTCCTGGGCTATCAGCATTGCAAGAAAGGGCAGTCTCTATGGTCGATTCTGAGTTACTAATGACAAGGTGCTGGTGAGGCAGGCACTTTGTTGAGCTGCTGTGGTCTGGGTGGTGTAAGTGCACTTACAGTACTGTTTATGATGGAGTTCCAGGAATTCCTGACCCAGTGGTCAACAAGAAACAGCAGTTTAAACCTGTCAGGGTGGGGTGTGATTTGAAGAAGAACAAAGGGGTGCTATTGCTCTCATGCATCTGCTGCCCATGCCCTTCCAGCTGGTAGAGACCAGGGGTTTGGGAGGTGTGGGGTTACAGAGGATATCACAATCAAGCCCAATGTGGTCCTTATCTGACAGGGTTTGAAATGGCAGTCTGGAATGGTTGCTGATCAGGAGTTGGTGTGAATTCACTTTGTGAACCTCATGGCCCCTCTGGTTGAGAATGGCTAACTAACCCTGTGAAGCTCTGGCTTTGAACCTGGGTACCTCTGGGATTTAGGATCCCTTGGCAAAAGGTAATGTCAGCCTAGTGCCCATCTATGGTGGTTCACCACTGCATATCATAAGAGGAAAAAAAAATAACCTCCCGCTCCAACAGGGCAAGAGAAAACAATTAAATTGCCCATCTCAGGAAGTGGGTTACCTCATCTTTACATGTGTTAAAAACTTCTACTGCCTTTTTTTTACTTTTCAAAGGTTTTGTGAGTTTTGATAATCCCACTAGTGCCCAGGCTGCCATCCAGGCTATGAATGGCTTTCAGATTGGAATGAAGAGGTTAAAAGTCCAGTTAAAACGGCCAAAAGATACCAGTCGCCCATACTGACTGACCGTGATTCAGGGGCAAGAATTTCTGATTTTCTAGGTAAGGCATAACCTGTTCATATCTTGTCTTCTCTCTTCAGTTTTAAAGGTTCTTTAGGTCAATACTGATGTTTAATTTCTCAAAGTCAGAATAAGACTGGCTATCTCTAGGAATCCATTAGTATTTTCTTCCAAAACCCCAGGGAATTTGGGATCTCCATCCTTTGCCATCGTGTCCCCTCAAAAAAAATCAAAGTTTGAGAGAACATTTCAAAACGAAGATTGATGAACTTGTCTTAGGCAGGAGGGTTATAGCATCGAGAACTCAGGAGGATAAATGGAGTTAATATCAGCCTTGTATATTAGGGGAACAGAATTGCTGGGCCGTATGGCCAACTCTGATCTCCTTGTGTATTGATGCAAGATAGATCGCTCATACATGCCCCACCCTTTTAAAAAGGCAGGGTGGGGTGGGGGGGGGGTCACTTTGTCTGTTGGGCTCTGGAAGTGAACGTGAATGTCACTGAAAAGAGAAGCATGTCATTAAAATATTTTATCTTACGCTCATCAAGACAAATGCAGGAATGCCAGAATTTCCAATGATGGCACCAATTTACCAGGGAACTGATCGGTTGGCAGGTTAACTCTGATTGGCTGAGGCATTGCCATGGAGAAAACAAGAGGAAACTATAGGCTCCCCAAGCTTCCGAGTAATTTTTCTTTAAAAGGCACAAGGTTTGAACATGAGATAGTAGGAACTGCAGATGCTGGAGAATCTGAGATAACAAGGTGTAGAGCTGGATGAACACAGCAGGCCAAGCAGCATCATAGGAGCAGGAAGGTTGACGTTTCGGGCCTAGACCCTTCATCAGAAGGGTTTGAACATACTTTTATTTGGAACATGCGCGGCCTATAAACTTTGTTGATTTCTCCATGGCAATATCTTGGCCAATCAGAGTCAACTTGCCAACTAATTAGCATGACTTTTTTCCCCTAGTATACATTGTCGTGATCGTCTGAAATTTTTGCATTCTTGCATTTGTCCTGAGGAGAGCAAGATATAAAACTTTGTCACCGCGGCTCTCTTTACAGCAAAAATCAAGCTCTGTGCTGCCACTAGAAGTAGACATCTTGAGATTTGCAGGTCAGGAGGGCTCTGTGGAGAATACCCTTTCCTCATAATCAGCATCAGTTTGACTGTCAGTTTTAAACGAGACTTTGCGAATATTCTCCTCTCCAGAATGAAGGTCATGTTTCAAATTCAAGCAGCTAGTGGGTGGAAAGGGGATCTGAGAGCAGTGGCTGTATTCCAGGGCAAGTTGTTCACATAGAGATGGTAGGAACTGCAGATGCTGGAGAATCTGAGATAACACGGTGTAGAACTGGATGAACACAGCAGGCCAAGCAGCATCAGAGGAGCAGGAAGGCTGACGTTT